ATATTGATATATCGTATGAGTGTCTCAACAGGTATTATATCTGGCACAAAAGACAGGACAGCGGAAATTAATCTTAATTTTACTGCAATTACAAAAAACCTCGTGAGAAATCGACAAACTCCCTATAAACAGTGCTGTCATTACCCAGATAAAATCATCCACCCTCAGTCCCCAGATGTTACCCAAATCCAAATTGTAGACGCACATTCCTTAAACCAATCACAATCAATTTTATGACGAGTAACTTTCTCCTAAACGAGCGTAAAAGGACACAATGCGGCACACCTAAACCAAAACGCGAGTTGACACTAATCACAGCAGGTGCCCGTATGTTCACGTGACCTCACTAGCGCGTGCTGACGCGAAGTGTCACTCCGGCTCTTTTGAAGGCCATATCGAGAACATTCCCACGGCCTCTCGCAGTGATTGTGAAATCAGAGGGATGAGTAGGGGTATCATGTTTCCCGTGTTTGGAAGACATCAGTGGCGCGTGGCATTTTGACATCTCGCGTCTTCCATTATTCATCCTTGTCCATAACCCGTGTCAGACACATCAACAAGACGTTTTATGGCCGGATGATAGCGGTGAGTTTGAAGGAATGTTTACACGGCTATTGAGGTTTACAGTCGTAGTGACAGGCTTGAGACATACCGTTACACCCGTGGCCTTCAACGAAGCTTCCTATAACATTTTAAATATGCCCGCCCTGAATTTAAATATGAAAAGGAGCGACGGTTTAGTTTAACATTATGAAGAAACCTAACAAGATTTTACACCTGTATCAATATCAATTAACATTATGTTATGACATTTAAACACGGACATGCAAAAGGTTGTGTTTTTTTTTGTTTAACGCCGCGCTCAGCAAATTCCATCTATATGACGGCGGTCTGTAAGTAACCGAGTCTGGACCAGACAATCCAGTGATTGACAAAAACTATGTGTTTTTAATCATAATGCGTGATCGGATTTTCAGTGGATTATTGTCCATTGAGAAACGTTGAATAGAAACGAAAGTATCGTTCACATTGGAATATAAATAGTGAGGATTGCCTTCTTGGAGACGGCTTTATGTTACTGAAGCATTAATAGTTTGCTGTGTTTTCCAGACTTTTCGCAGCTACATTGACGGTGCCAATCGTTTTTGTGATTTTATTGGGCTTAATTTATAAAATGTCGATACATATGACCAAAGGCGAAAACATCTCCCTTGAATAATTCATTTGGGACACTAAGATTGGGAATGTTTGCAATCCTAGCTAGGTTGATTCAATTCATTGAAACCCCAGTTTCTTTGTGATGTAGATGAATTCGTAAGCAAACGAATTCGTAATCAGTTTAATCAATTAATTATTTTCATACAATTCCTATATTAAAAAGACGTGTATGCGGTTCGTTTACGAGTACACTGTAAATTGTGTTTACGAGTTGGCGGTGTCCACGAATTCACTGCATTCCGTTTGTTTACCTGCTTGCTGAAATTTTACTTTATATGTCAATCTACAGTCAAGTCCCCACAGTTTCTAATCACTTGATTTTAGCGTATTTAAAGGAAATCAAGCTCTATGATAAAATATAGATGTTTACCTGAACAGTCAGTCTTTTACCTCTGAATGTGATACATGACTGAGATTTTAGTGATTTTCAACATCACTTTTATTCTCTTGGTTGATATCTGATTACACAAAAGACATTTCTCGCCACGAATAGCTGCAAAATTGCTGATGCGGCGTTAAGCAATATCCACTCACTCACAGTCAAGTCCCGTTAATCCGACACTCGTTAATCCGACAATCGGCTTTATCCGACACAAATGATGGGAACCTTTTAATGACAATTAAAATGACAATTTTACGTTGATGAAGTGTCAATGAATGCAAGTTGTCAAGACAGTAGCACTTGCATTTACACGTAGAAACGTGTGTCGTTGATGTGATGAATTCAGTGAGTAATGTCTCTGTTGTTATGTATAAATGGCAAAATTATTATTATTTTTGCAATGCCATTTATTATAAATTCAGAAATGAATGAATAAACAACATAACAATATGAATATTCCGTTTTTAATGATTTTATTAAAAGGTACACATGGTTATTATCTATCATGAAGATGTCCGATTTTCGATCACAAATCACCTAATTTCGTTAATCCGACATACTCGTTAATCAGACACAATCATATGCAACCAACAATGTCGGGTTAACGAGAGTTGACTGTATATATTAGTATCCTAATTACACAGATACAAATGCCTTCGTTTTTGTATTGTCACGTTAACCTCCCACAAAAAGTTAATGCTACTTAATGTGAAATATTCACTTCAGAAACCCTTAATATTGGCGGACAGTTTTGAATATTTGAACACTAGATACTATTTGAAACTCACTCACTCACACATTGCCACCTGTCGAATGGAATGTTTCACGCGATGTCCAGTCATTTTGATGAATTATTTCATGACGTTGACACCGTGTTGAAAACAATCGGTTTTGTCACGTGGAATAACTGATTGTCCAGTCAACACTCCGGACATGGCAAGAACCATCTGCTGGACACTACGACCTCGTGCATCAGAATGCCACCACGTGCAGTTCCCCGCTGCTTGTAGAGAAGGTGGCTCCCCCTATCGGAATAATTAACGGTTTCCTTATGACCGGCAACTGACACTAACGACTTGGCCTTTCAGCAACTAGTTATGGGGCAACTGATTGTAATTATCAGACAATGCGGGTGATTATTTGACACCAAACTGTTATCATAATAATGTCTGGGTGCGAAAGTACCAACATAAAATTGACAAGATGCTGAGACAGCCGAAATGATTGAGAAAGAGTAACTTAGTATGCCATGTAGTTTCAGCAATGGCACCTTATTTAACATCCCATTAATAATTATCCTCATTATTCCTCCACCCACTCTTGGCATTCATTCCAAATCTCAAAATTATATATTAGGCCAGAACGAAAACGTGAGGCGATATGTAATCATAAAACTGTAATCACTATGCATTATATTGTCCACCTATCTAAAACGAGATCGCAATAGACTTGGATGATTTAGATAGAGGATTATGAAACTAAACAAGATTACATTTTTCCAAAACCTACAATCAATGCCAGAGACTAACACTTAGTCCTAGAAATAAAGTCATCTCTTTAAGAAATATACACCCGCAAAATAAAAAAAGTAAATTTCAAATGGAGCCCAGAACAATGGTTAATTTCAGCTAAGGCAATCTAGACTTGACAACTTATTCTAGACTTGAGTTGGATTCCTCATTTAAATATTCTCTAGGCTCTGGGACAGACAATGTCAATATACAGAGAGATCCAGAGAGATTGATACATGGTGCTCTGGGTGTACATGTCTCTCTCCTGCCATAGCACATGTCTGGCATTTTATTTAACAAACAATGTGTACATGTGAATGGGAGGATAATTCATGCAGTAAATTAATCCGTGAATATGAAAACACCGGAACATAACATCACCTTAAATGTTGATTTACACTGTTAAACAAGACCTGTGTTGTTAATGACCTGTGCTACGGTCTTACGAGATCTTAAGCTTATTGTCGCAAAGAGAAACAACCCACATTATTATGGTGCCGTGATTCCAGTGGCACCTGACAGGTTCTTGCTGTGTTATCCATTGAGAAGGATGGAGATTTAATAAGCGTCTAGAGTTTGCGGTACTGAGTAAAGACATTTTAGTTTTCGTTCGGATAAAGAAAATATTGACAAACACAAACAATGTGAAAAACATTTAAAACGTCTGATAAAAACAATACACATATATCAATATGGAATATTGTATAATATTTAAACTACAATACTGAATATTACAAAATTTGGATAGAATAAAATATTGCTGCCTTTCACATGCATTGTGTATTTGCATTTGTTATTTCCTACTGAATTATACAAATATACATAATACAAAAGTTAAAACCTGTCACGCGTTTACAATTCGTTTTTACAGATGTTGTTGGAAGATAGGTGAAGAGTACAAAAGAACTGGTTTTCAGTAAAACATTAAACTCAACTCACTCAGGCATATGGGTTGGCATAGTGGTTGAAGCGTTCGTAAATGGGTGTGAGGCCCAATTCTGGTCTCCTCTGTCGTGAGACAGTGAGTGAGTATGGTTTTACGCCGCTTTTAGCAATATTCCAGCAATATCACGGCGGGGGACACCAGAAATGGGCTTCACACATTGTACCCATGTCGGGAATCGAACCCGGGTCTTCGGTGTGACGAGCGAACGCTTTAACCACCAGGCTACCCCACCGCCCCTCTCCCCTTTCGTGACCTTGCTGAAATATTTATTATTATTAAAAGGCAACTTTAGTCTAAAGTCACATTAGCTAAACGGCTGTCTGTTTTAAATTTCAATTGGTTGTTTTCACACTGGAGAGAAGAGGGCAGGAGAGGCGAGGGGTACAATTAATTTCTCATAATTCTTTCGAAGCAGCGTCCAGCGAACAAATATATTTTGAATAAACTTGACATACTGTATCTCTTAAGAAAATAAGAAGAAACCAGAATATTAAAGGGCCGTTCCTTAATCAGTAAACAGCAGTTTCATATCGATGATAACATTTTAGTTTTCGGACAAAGTTGTCATTTGAATTAAATTCGTTATATATGCCATTGTGATCGAATCTGATTACATACAAATGCAAAAGATTAAACAATCAGATTCTTATATTTACATGACATATCGTCAGTACAAGATGGAAATCTCTTGTAAATGCAATCATCGTCATCAGGCACTTGACACCGCTCCCAGGTAACTGAAGGCGACATGGCGTGCCCTAAATAGATGGAAATAAACTTTTATTGAATGAAACACTAGATAATAATGAGACTGTTGACAGGCCGGAGCTCGTCCACGTGACTCTTCGTGTCACGCCAAGCAAGATGAATATCTGTCTCCGGGTGAAGTTGAACGAGAGCCGGCGCGTGCCACCACTTAACTAGGCGTGCGCTGATTGGCTGTGTGTATCGGATCGCGCCGGGCTATTCAGATGTCAAAACATAACTGTACATAGATTAGCGTGGGTAGGGGAATGTTGGGGGTATAAAGGCGGGTCGGGAGGCTGCGTTCCATCACACTAACTTGTCCCTCAGAGCTGAACACATCGCAGTGATGGAATCTTACTTTGATAACATGGAATCTGACAGTGAATATATGGGCCGAAGAAAGGTAAGCATCAATTTACTCTTTTAAATAACTTTCAAATGGACTGCTTACAACTTATAAATAACATGTGCTTGTTTACATTTAAAACACGTGGCTAATTTAATATTCATGAGAAATGGGAATAGACTGTGTTTGTCCCTTTTCTCAGCACACAAGAGTTCTTTCAAAACTTATATTTTGATATTCTGAAATATTGTATGCAAATATGAAGGAATTTCTCATCAATCTATTTATTTTCTCCAGGGTCGAAAGATGATGGCCGAAAAACGTCGACGAGCCAGAATCAACCAAAGCCTGTCAAAAATCAAAAGCATCGTGTGTGCGGCACATCAACGAAATGTAAGTGGCTCCCTTTGATCAAATCCATGTTCACCATCTATTTTCCCAGCAAGATTACTCATTTAAAAAAATAAATATATCTATTTCTTTTTCATTTACAACAGAAGTTGCGTGTTTTAAAATATACAATTTAATAAGATGAAATATTTTCTTCAATTTCTCAGCCTTGTTTATTTATTGTTATTAAATTTTTCCAGGACCCAAACTATGACAAGATGGAGAAGGCCGAGATTCTGGAGACGACTGTAGATTATCTGAGGAATGTCAGGAAGATCAACACCACACATCAACACGTGAAAGAAGCAGTTCAAGCCAGATTCCATCATGGCTTCTCCAAATGTGCTGAAGAAATACTCTCCTACATTCAGTCTCTGCCAGGAGTGTCGGACAATGTACACCATCAGCTGAGAAAACACATCTCTCGACGTATGACGCACATTCAGCAGGTGCCCGCGACGTCATCAACAGATGATGTGACGTCATACACAAGTCAGTGCTCCGAGCGACTGAGAACAGTACCTTCCCACAATTCCAAATATCAACATCCTGCTGCACATGCGTACATGAACAGGACAGTGTGCACTTCCCCCGTGAAGGAGGACAATAGTTTTTCAGACAGTGGATATGCTGGTTCTCCTGAAAGTGTCAAACAATCCACCCCAAGAACCGGACGCTATCACTCCAGTCTCTCGTATTCAGAACTTAGATGTAAAGTACCGTCAGAAATGGTTGACAAAGACTCGAGAGTGAGAGCGTGGCTCCAGAGCACGTGGTCCTACTCACAGCAGATTAGGACGGAGCAACAGGTTCCATGGAGGCCCTGGTAAAATGCTCCATGCAACTTTATATTTTGGACACGTCATAATGGTGCTTCTTTATATCGGTCTTTTCATATACATTGTCTGTGATAAATTATATTTGTAGATAAAGATGTATTATTTAACTCTTGTATCCTTCGTTGTTTTTACGGATTCATGATGCGCCTATTCTAATCAAGATGTACTGGTGTATGTACTAGTGCACCTTGGTTAGAATAGTTTTCCAAGAATCAGGTCTGCTAGCTGTCGATCCATAATAAATACGAGTTAAGTAGTAAAATATTATTATCCTTTGTTCTGTCGTCACCTATCAGAAGGAAAACAGATTCTGACAATGAGCATCTGAAACATCTGAGCATTTTATCCAACAACAGTTTGTTTTAACCACAAACACGTGTGTATTGTTCAGACATGTGGATACACAGTTACACAATTAAATATTTCATTGTTTGATAGGCATTACTTAGAAGTTGACGGGAGACAAGAAAGACACAATTTTATGGATAACAACTTCCTTAATACTGTGAAAAGCGACGTTTCGGTCAACTGCGTGACAACGGTGTAAGGATCTATTCCGAAACTGCGTGACAGCGGTATAAGAATCAATTCCGAAACTGCGTGACAACGGCATAAGGAAACGTCGCTTTTCACAGTATTAAAGAAGTTGTTATCCATAAAATAGTATCCACCTAAATATTTCGTTTCGGACAAAATTCAAAACGCACTTGCTTATCTCTCTAACAACATTCCCAGCATTCCACTCAATGGCTGACTGAAAGGTGGTAAACATCTCTACAGTGGTAACTGATCCTATTAATAGCTCATCTACGTTGAAAAGGTAACTGTTTTCCCTGGTGAATTGGGTTTACTGTTTTGAACAGTAAATCAGATGTGTCTGGAAGCGTATTGTTAAGAAAAAGTCAGGAATGAAGTAGAAATGACAGCAAAAAGAACCAAAGTCTTAGAATGAATACATGGGTGAAATTTAAATTAAATTCAACTGGTTTCGTTTAATCAGATGATAAGACCCGGCGAACAGACTGGTTTACCAGATGTCAGCTTAAACACTGGGAAACTTTGAAACAGGCCTGGCGTCGACATGATATCCATTAAAGTATCTCCATAAAAGCACAACTCCGTCCGTCCGTCGCTTTGAATAGACACAAACAGTGAAAACACAAATGAAAGTATATAAAATCCGTGTAGGGTCATTATAAACGACCTCCACCCAGCTCCTGCACGCCTCGAACTGGGACAGGCGTTAGTTGTGACACTGATCACCACAGGTGCCCGTATGTCACGTGATCTTACCAGAGCGTGACGACGCGAAGTGTCACACAGCGAACATTGAGAAGTAGAGTGGCGGAATGTGACTCAAAGGCCGAAATTATCACTGGGATATTAATTTAGGTGTCAATACTGAAAGCACATTCCTGGGGCATTTCAGAGGAATGTGTCGCCATTTGTATAACCGCACTTTCTGCATTCAAAGCGTTTTTAAAAAAAACCGATTTCCTGGGTGTGAATGAGTTCAATATTATGACGGAAGGTCTATCGCATATAGAACCCTGGTCTATCTCTCAGACCCTGGAGAATGTATTGAAAAGGGAAAATCAGAATAGAGTAGAATCATTTGACAAGTCTAGATTTTGTGTGTGGATATATGTATATATTTAAATGACTAAATTTAAGTCATATAGACTGCCCGATTATGATTACAATTTAGTGCACACTCGTAAATACTTAAAAAAGGAAACCAACTCAAGTCTAGATTGCCTCAGCTCTGAATGTAAACGTTGCTCTGAGCTCCTTTGGATACACATATATATTTTTTTCTGGGTCTCTCCGGACAACACGTGCAAGGGTTTCGCTATACAACGCAATAATCTTGAACGCGATCTCTTTTAAAAGTCTCACCTTTTGGTTCCAGCCTCATATATGACGATAATTATTAATGGGATGTTAAATAAGGCGTCATTGCTGAAACTACATGGCATAATAAGTTACTCTTTCTCAACTATCATTTCGGATGTCTTAGCCTCTTGTCAATTTTTATTTCTACTTTCTCACCAAGACATTATTATGATAACAGTTTGGTGTCAAATAATCACCCGCATTGTCTGATAATTACAATCAGTTTCCCCATAACTAGTTGCTGAGAGGCCAAGTCGTTAGTGTCAGTTGCCGGTCATAAGGAAACCGTTAATTATTCCGATAGGGGGCGCAACCTTCTCCATAAGCAGCGGGGAACTGCACGCTTAACATTCTGATGCACGAGGTCGTAGTGTCTGCAATGTCCGCAGTGTTGACTGGACAATCAGTTATTCCACGTGACGTGTTTTCACCTCGGTGTCAAGGCACGAAATAATTAATCAAAGTTACTGGCGATCTTGTGAAACATTGCATTCGACAGGTGGCAGTGTGTGAGTGAGTGAGTTTGGTTTTCGGCTTTGAACAGTATTTCAGTTATGTTACGGCGTGTCAGCTTAATCTTGGGAGAAAGCAAAATGGTGGGGAGATTCGGAGATGTTTTTCCACCTTTTTTAGCTCACGAGCATGGTCAGGCTCACCACAGATCTTACTGCACTTTTATGAATAATACTGACAATATTTAATCACATTGAGTGAGTATTGTTTTACGCCGTTTAGCAATATTCCTGCATTATCAAGGTGGGAGACACCAGAAATGGGCTTCACACATTGTACCCATGTGGGGAATCGAACCGGGTTTTCGGCGTGACGAGTGAACGCTATAACCACAAGGCCACCCTTGATCAAATTGAACCTTATTGAATCATAATGATCATGTTGAACCTTTGGGAATAATATAATATAATATGGATGAATGTATTGGAGTCGTGTTGTATATGGTTCGCTCGAACCTATGCGCACTATTTCTTGTTTCAAAACTGCTCCATTTTAAACTGTCCAGTCGATCCGAAAGCACAGATATCACAAGTTTGCCCTTCTGTTATTTAGTGTCTGTAGTTTAGAACAATTTCTAAGGTTGCAGTCATAAGTTTCTAATACTTCAGGTGGGACGAGATCAGAGAGATAGTTCAAAGTTATTGTTTATTTATTAAAACGTAGTCAATTCAGTTTTATGGTTTCTTTCTCTAAAAGGCACAAAAGCTGTTGGCACTAGTGGCACGAACTGCGCTACAAAAAGGCCAAAGAGCATCAAAGTATAGTTCTTCAAGCATCAGTGACTGCCCTTTGGAACATTCATCCCCGATATGACATACACTTAAGACATGTTGTTTTATATTTGAACTATAGTTAAAATTTCTGGGAGAGTTTATCATAAGACTAACTTTTTAACTATTTCACTGGAATACTCTTACTCCAGGACCACTCGTAATGGAGAAAAAATCCAAATTGTTTGTGTGGTTGAACTTCCTTTTAAAAGTTTCATCATTATGATTATAATGTAAAACATATTTGGGTTTATTTTTCATTGTGTGAAATCCAACAACAGACCTGATCTTAGGTCACTTTTCTCAGTCTTAGCAACTGTTTCGTCCACGAAACTTGTAACTGTGATTTGAGTAAACATAAACAGTATTTGAGTAAACATAACAAGTTCTGTTCACTTCGCTCAAAAAGAAAACAAATAATTAAATCCACATTTTCGTGGTTTTTTCATTGTGTAAAATCCACAATTCACAGATCTGGTCATAGGTCACTTTTCTCGGTCTAAGCAACTGTTTCGTCCACGTGTGGGAGTGTCCGCGCCTTGTAAATGTGTCCAAACATGCTTACCTAGGAATAAACACAGCATGTGGAATTCTTGATACCTTGTCATCCTATTATTCCCTATCATCTGTTTTGTCCAGCCTAGAGGGGGTTCACCACCAGATAGACCATTACAAACAATCTCCATCACTGGATGGTTGGCCGTGAACAATGACGTTACGTCACAGACCTCAGCATGACGTCATGATAATCTGTGATATATCCTAGTGTTTATGGACAGTGTTAAAACTAAAGTGCAGACTTCACTCATTCCGGTAAGATACCATTTTTTGACGAAACGAAAGAACTGATCAGATATGATAGAGAGTTTAACAATTTCGTAAATATCATATCAAAGTCAAATATGGATATGAGTGTAAATAACAAACAATTTTCGTTCGTTTTACAGACTAAAGCGGATTTTTTTGCAAATCTACTTGCGCATGATTATTGATATATGCCCAAACATGGACATGGCTGAAATTTCTATGCATGGATACACTTATTAATATGAAGGAATATCGCTATAAACGCAAGATTGAAGCAGTTTCAATAGTTTGACACTCTGGGTTCTTAAGTCCCAAGGTTTCGTTTTAATGTCATTGCCCTTAGTGACGGATGGGTGATAACTTCCTGAAGTGTTCTGATTCACTTTCTCAGGCGGCTGAGCTGACAACATTAGATATCACGTGACCCTGTGTGTCTGACAACGTGTTCGTGGCGACGTGTAGAGTAATACGTGTAAAGTAGATTAATCAAAGGCTGTTTAGACACTGCAGAAACATTAATATCAAAAGATATACAAAGTCTGTCATAATGGAAAATATTGAAGGGGGTGAAATTTCACAGTAGATTGATAGGGAGTACAGAAGATGGAAATGTTTATGGAATAACGACAGTATTTAATAGTAACATTCGTAATAATTGGTTAAAAGTGCACCCAACAAGAATGTAATGATTTATAACTGACCACAAAGTATATTTTGTGTAAATATAATGATTGTTTACACCTTGACTATCTTTGTTACCTGACTTCTTCTATGTGTGAGTGAGTGAGTCTGTGTGTGTGGGGGGGGATTCAAATAAGTCTTGTTTACCGATCCCAGTTTTCCGGTGATTTGATATTCTGGTTGGGGGCCTAGGATTTTGTATGGAGACTTGGGACTTCTCCATGTACAGCTGCAAAACAAGATTGAAATTGTTTTTGAAACTATGAGCCTGTTGATATGTTTCTACACTTTGTTTTGGTGATGCGCTCATAAGGAGACGTGTACAGACTAATAAAGGAACACATTATCTACCTGTTCTGACACTAACGACTTTCATTCTGAGTAGATGGTTAATTATCAGATTGTGATAATAAGAATTACCATTTGACACATAATCGCTATCCAAACCATGTCTGGCCCCAGGTCTGAGTGGAGAATGACACAACGCGATTCGTGAAATATTAAAGAAGGGTTCTGTGCACAAGGTATGTTTCTTGTAAGTTACTGACACACTCACGTTAATTGACATAGAGATGAGTAACAGCCTTGGCTCACCACTGTGTGACAGTGACTTTAATTCTCTAAAATTGATAATATTGACAGTTATTTCATTCCATTATAATGTTTGTAATTGAGAGAGCATCATGGAAAAATAATAATAAATGATAAACATATCACGAAAGTCATTAGATTTCCAAATGATAAAAAACAGCGACTTGCTCGCACGTCTCTCATCTTCAGGGTGAGATGCATTTCCGCCCTTGTCCAACAAAAAACACTGTGTTGCGGTGAATTTTCTCCATGAATACTACTAATTATATCTTTCCCCATTAATGAAAAAATAATTTAGCAGCGTTGTATTTTACAGCAATGTACACAAGTGCTTTTTTTAACCGAAAGCACGTCATATTTCAGCTAGATACCATATTCCAGTCAGATAATAAACTTAGATTTCCAAATAATAAGTAAGATGTGTCTGACAACATCATCTTCGCGGCGACAGCTACAGTGGATTACAAGGATTAGCTGGCTTAATAATAAAAGCGGAGAAAGTAAACGACCAACTGATAATGACACAACTTGTTCACAAAATGAACGGCAAAGACGTTATATAAAATATTTTTCAGGATTATTTCTTCTGTGAACTTAAAAGAGTGAAGTTAGCACTAAAAGGGACTTTGGAAAGAAATACAATTAATGTCTAGTTATACTGATAATTACACTGTTTCAGTAACACCGAAATAATTTCAATATGTTAATATTGTGGTTGCATGTCAGCACCGTCAATACAGGTAATATGTGATGTAAATCCAAGAGAAATCCAATCACCTTCGTGTTTCACCTGGTTACTGTTCAAGGTTGCGGTTGGCGACGGAATGCGACACAGCGCGTGTCACGGGCCAAGAAGGGGTGGGAATACACTTTAATTGAATGAAACACTGGATCAAAATTACTCAGATTGTTGACAGGCCGGGTGCTCGGCCACGTAACTCCTCGTGTCACGCCAAGCAAGAAGCTCTCTGCTCCTGAAGAAAATCATCCCTGTCGGGTCGTGAGAAGAACATCTGTCTCCGGGTGAAGTTTAACGCGATCCGGCGCGTGCCACCACTTAGCAAGGTGTGCGCTGATTGGCTGCGTGTATCGGATCGCGCCGGGCTATTCAGATGTCAAAACATAACTGTGCATAGATTAGCGTGGGTAGGGGAATGTTAGGGGTATAAAGGCGGGTCGGGAGGCTGCGTTCCATTACACCAACTTGTCTCTCACAGCTGAACACATCGCAGTGATGGAATCTTACTTTGATAACATGGAATCTGACAGTGAATATATGGGCCGAAGAAAGGTAAGCATCAATTTACTCTTATAAAAAAAGTTTCAAATGGTCTGTTTATAATGTGTAAATTACATGTGCTTGTTCGTGACTGAAACACGTGGCTAATTTAATATTCATAGGTATGGGAATAGACTGTGGGTTTTTCCCTTTCTCAATACTCTAAATAAGTATTCTTTTTGTCTGTCTTACATTCAAGTCTATAATAATTGGCAAGTCTAGATTACTGCAGTACCAGGGTGAAGAGAGTCTCTGGTCTTTTTATTATATTTTTATTAAGATAATTTAACAACTGTTTTCTGTAGGATATGTTCATTTCAGAGACTAGAGTCATGCGAAGCGTTCTTTCAGAACATATATTTTGATAACCTGAAATATTATATGCAAACATGAATACATTTCATATGAAACTGTTTTTTTCTCCAGAGTCGAAAGATAATGGCTGAAAAACGGCGACGAGCTAGAATCAACCAAAGCCTGTCAACAATCAAAAGCATCTTGTGTGCGGCACATAAACGAAGTGTAAGTAGCTCCCTTTGATGTTTACAATCTATATTCACATTCACATACTCCTATTTCAAATTAAAGACGGAAATAATATCTTTCTTGTTTTTAAAAATAATTTCTTAAATATCACGATGTATGCCTTGGTTATTTATTGTTATTAATTTTTCCAGGACCCCAACTATGAGAAGATGGAGAAGGCCGAGATTCTGGAGACGACTGTAGATTATCTGAGGAACGTCAGGAAGATCAGCACCACACATCAACACGTCAAAGAAGCAGTTCAAGCCAGATTCCAACATGGCTTCTCCAAATGTGCTGAAGAAATCCTCTCCTACATTCAGTCTCTGCCAGGAGTGTCGGACAATGTACATCGTCAGCTGAGGAAACACATCTCTCGACGTATGATGCACATTCAGCAGGTGCCCATGACATCATCAACAGATGATGTGACGTCATACACAAGTCAGTGCTCCGAGCGACTGAGAACAATACCCTCCCTCAATGTCCAATATCAACATCCGGCTGCGCCAGCGTACATGAACAGGACAGTGTGCACTTCCCCTGTGAAGGAGGACAATAGTTTCTCAGACAGTGGATATGCTGGTTCTCCTGATAGTGTCAAACAATCCACCCCCAGAGCCGGACACTATCACTCACTTAATCTCTCAGATTCAGAACTTAGTTGTAAAATACCATCAGAAATGGTTGACAAAGACTCGAGAGTGAGGGCGTGGCTCCAGACCACGTGGTCCTACTCACAGCAGATCAAGACGGAGCAACAGGTTCCATGGAGACCCTGGTAAAATGCTCCATGCAACTTTATATGAACAATAGCTGTGATTTTGTATACGATATAAAAGTGCTATTTCATACAAGACATTTCATATTCATTGTCTGTGATAAATTATATTCGTTGATATATGAAATATAATTTAACTCTACTATACTTCGTTGTTGTAATTGTTTTTTTCGAGTTTATATCAGTAGAATGCACTAGTACACCTTGATTAGAATAGGTTACCAGGAATCTGTTCTGCTAGCTACTTGGGATTGAAGTGACGATGCATAACGATTAAGTTACTATCAAAGTAGTAAAACATTATGATCCTTTATACTGTCGTCAGCTTGCTTCTGAAAGAAAAACAATCTGGCAATGAGCACTTAGACATGTGTACAAACAGAATCACAAATAAATATTTGATATTGAACTAAAATCAAAACTCACTTGCTTAATAATTTTCCTATCATTCGACTTGCCATATGGCTCGCTATAACACAACTGCCATGGTGGTAAACCTGTGTTGCAATAGTCTTGCCGTGGTGCTATACAGACTGTTGCAAAAGTTAAAATGTCAGCACAAAGTTAATCACATCTAATGGTCATACATGGCTACAGTGAGCGTCAACTTTTCCTATTAAAGGTCTCTACGAAAATGTAATCCCCAGAATTGGGTTAACCGTTTTGTACAATACTTCACAGTTGTTGTGGAACGTATTGGTAAAGAATAGGCAAAAATGACGCAGATGTGTTCCACTGACAAAGTCCCTGCAAAACAAACACAGGTGAAATTGCATATCACAGAAGTTGAATTTTTAGAATTAAATTTAACTGGTTTAATTAAATCAGATGGTAAAACCTGGTGAACAGACCATGTGTTTACCAGGTGCAAGCTTGAACCTTTGCAACTTTTAAAATGCCTGGCGGCGACATCATATCCATAAAGGTACTCCATTAAAGCACAACTCCGTCCAAACTCCTCCTGAATAGACACAAACAATGAATACACAATTGAAAGTATATAAAATCCGTGTGTTATCCGTGTGTTCATTATGAACGACCTCCACCCAGCTCCTGCACGCCTCGAACTGGGACAGTGGGAATGTTGTGACACTAATCACGACAGGTGCCCGTATGTCAGGTGACCTTACCAGAGCGTGACAACGCGAAGTGTCACATAGCTGTACATTGAAGGGGAGTGGCGGAATGGGCCCCTTGTCCGAAATTATTGATGTGATATTATTTGTGGGGACATTACTGAAGCACGTTCCTTGGGCCAAATCTTGGCGCCACATCCAGCACTGCGCCATACAATTTGTACATTAGACCAATTTTTCTTGCATAAGTAAGTTCAACCTGCTCAATATTTTGACGGTGTGGTGTGATCAATCATCGTTCGTTTTGACTGCTAGTTACAGTCAGCTACTCTATACTCAATGCACACAAGCATATTATTCGCATCACGGGATATTCAAGCCAAGTACCATACAGTTTTATAATCTGTCACTCCTTCTAAACTGTTATTAATATTACAGCTTTCTTAGCGATTCTCACAGGGTGCATTTTGCACCGTGTTCGTTCACAACTATCTGGTAGCACCCTCACACCCAGACATTATTATGATAACAGTTTGGTGTCAAATAATCACCCGCATTGTCTGATAATTACAATCAGTAGCCCAATAACTAGTTGCTGAAAGGCCAAGTCGTTAGTGTCATTTGCCGGCCATAAGGAAACCGTTAATTATTCCGATAGGGGGCGCCACCTTCTCTACAAGCAGCGGGGAACTGCACGTGGTGGCATTCTGATGCACGTGTTCGTAGTGTCCAGCAATGTCCGAGTGTTGAATGGACAATCAGTTATTATTCCACTTGACAAAAAAGGTTGTTTTCCCATCGGTGTAAAGGTCACGAAATAATTCAACAAAGTGACTGGACTTTGTGTGAAGCATTCGACAGGTGGTAGAGAGTGAGTTGGGTTTAACGCCGCTTTGAACAATATTCCAGTTATGTCATGGCGTGTCACCTTTATGGAATACTGTAAGGGACATTCTCGCGCTCTCGCATTCATCTTGATGTTGAAAGAAAGCAAAATATGTTTTTTAAACCTGCGAGTATTGTAACATTTTGACTGACCACAGATAATATTAAACCTTGGTAATCCTCAGAGGTTTAGGGACTGGATGTTTTGAAATGTTATAACAATTCACAATTGAAATATATCGCTGTTTGAGTCGCGCGCACACTGTGCACACTTATTTGTTTCTTGAACTGATCTATTCAAAACTGACCACACTTGTATCTGTGACTTGCAATATTTGAGTAAACATGAGAAGTTTTGTTCACCTCGCTCAAAACGAAAAAAAATAATTAAATCCACATTTTCGTTATTTTCTTTTTCATTGTGTGAAATCCAACAACAGATCTGGTCAAAGGTCACTTCTCAGTCTTAGCAACTGTTTCGTCCACGAGTGGGAGTGTCCGCGCCTTGTAAATGTGTCCAAACATGCTTACCTGGAAATAAAGACAGCATGTGGAATTATTGATACCTTGTCACCCCATTATTCCCTATCAGCTGTTTTGTCCAGCCCAGAGGGGATTCACCACCAGAAAGACCATTATAAACTGGATGGATGGTCGTGAACAATGACGTTACGTCACAGATCTCAGCGTGACGTCATAATGATCTGTGATATACCATGGTGTTTATAACACAGACAGTGTCGTGAAGTGTTGACACTAATGGACTTTTTTCACTCTTTGAGAAAGGGATATTCAGAATACATACCGTTCTTCAACACTTCATGAGCCGGACAGAGAGTTGAGTACCTGTTAGCCTTGCTCCAGGTTACACACAACCAAATGTTTTCCCATAGACTTCTATAGTAACGTTATATTTTTTTAGAAATAACTAAGCATTCATCAGCTATTACCTGTACGTGTGTGCACAGTTTGGCCTTAGAGCAGCAATAAAAAAATAAAAAATGACTAGCTTAGCCGGCTCCTTTTCCGAGTACAGGAAGCTAAACACACCACCCCCAGTTTCGCACCAAATGTCACCTACTTGAAAATAGCTGTGGTCACATTCAGCATAAGTCATCATGTTGAAAAAGACTGTACTAAATATAGAAAAACATGGTCAGTTTTAATAACTGGGTGGATGTACATTTGAAAGACATTAAAATCTTACAGAATATCCTCCAATCACAGCCTGCAGATATCTCTCGATCTGCACTGAGGGCTTACGAAAACCGCACTGGCCAAACTGGTTCTGATTTGGTTTAGTAGAACCTCCAAGGTCGAACTGAAAGATAAGACCATGGATGTGTAATAATTCTTTCTACGGAAGTCTAGATAATTTGACAGGAAGCCTGTCTCTTATTGGGACAACTTGTTCTTATTATTTATATTCATGTAATCTAGAAATTATGATTTAAACTAATAATTACTGCCTTAGAGACGTGTGCACGTTTAAATAATTGTGATCACTGTAAGATTTGTGGTGTTATAATGGGTGCATGTGCTAGTATGCAAAAAATGTGCATTCTTTATATTATAAAATATTAGACCAGGTGTATTGGTTTGGCAATTAAAGTAGGACGTAACTTATCTATGGTGTTATAGAAAAATGGACATGTTAATTTATTAAACACGACTACGTATAGACTAAAACTAAGTCTATGGGATCTTACATGACAAAACACCCTTCTCGACTCTAAAAATAAAATAAATAAATTTCCCTATGCTGATTTCATAGACTGTGCTAGAGCATAGAGCTAGCTAGAACCGGCTAGACTTTTGTATACGTTTCTAGATTGTTTCTTTTTCATAAAATAAATATACCCTACAGTCATGACTAGACTACGTATAACAAGCACATATACGCTGACTCTATAGCGATATGAGTATTATTTCGTAGCGTGTGTGTAAGAATTGGTTTAAAGGGACATGGCTAAGTATAATATAATGAAGGCTATTAATAAAGAAAATTACAACAATAATTCTTCAAAATATAGAATGAGATTATACTATATCTGTGAACGCTGGTGTTTAAGAGGTTGGGGTCTTATTACTGCGTGGAAACCGTTTTCCCTGATTACAGACAGATTGATAGTTTATAACAGTCTCACCATATGTGTACAATACATTAAGAATAAAAAATACAGTGAAGAATGAATGATATGAAATCACCCGTGGATCTTTAAACTTTTATAAGTATTGACGGTATATTTATCATGAGAGAAGGAGAGGGATTTGGTGTTTTACGTGCGCTTTCCGACTTAATGCGTATTTCGCACACGGGCCCGCCAGGCCAATTTGTGGTTTTACCAAGGAGGGTATGTCCGAAAAGGAAGGGCAACCTTGGGGACTTTATTTTATTTTATTTTTTTAAAGGTTTTAGCGTGGTATAAGTGATTTTGTTGTTTATTAGATGCATTATTTATCATCTGTAGTGATGCAGGTCATAGGTCATATTGGACTTCGCGACACCCTACACCTTAATATGTGGATTTCCACACTGCACAACACGTAACATCATTCCAGAAACGTATGCGTCTATACTATTACGTACCGATGCGTCAATACGGTGACGTGTAAGTCTAATAAAGGAACACATTATCTACCTGTTCTGACACTAACGACTTTCACTCTGAGTAGATGGTTAATTACCAGGTTGTGATAAAAAGAATTACCACATGACACACAATCGCTATCCAAACCATGTCTGAGTGGAGCGTGGCACAACGGGGTCGTGAAATATGTTATATGTATATTTTTATGGTGCTATTGTGTCTCATTAGCCGTTATAGAATTGACTTTGTATTTTTACGTGTATGTGTAATAATATTATTACATTTGTATCCAATCTTGTTTTAGTGCAAAGTGTGACCCATTAATGAAATAATGTTCTTCTTCTAATATAAAGAAGGGTTCTGTGTTCAAGATGTGTTTCTTGTAAGTTATAGACACAGTCACATTAATTGACATGGATGTGAGTAACAGCCTTGGCTCACCACTGTGTGACAATGAATTTACTTGTGATGCTTGTGATATGTTTTACATATAATTGAGCAACTTC